AAAAAAAGAAAAAAAAGAAAAATTCTATTCAAAAATGTATCTCTCTTTTTTTACATTTCTTGAATATTTGTAATTATATATAAAATGCCCAGTTCTGAACCAAAAAGCAAGCATATATGACAAAATTAAAGAGCAATAGCACGTGCGTGCGCACGCTCTCGCTCTCTCTCTCTCTATATATATATATTTTTTTCTTTTTTTACCATTATAATATCCAGCAGCCAGGTGGTGGTGGGGCCTGGTGGGCATCCAGGCCAGGCTAAGGCACTGACCACACTCAGAGGGATCTGAAGCTTGCATAGATCCCACCTGAAGGGTTGCCACACATTGTACCTGAAGGGACAGAAGAGAATGGGATTAGGGTTAGGGGTAAATCAGTGTTTAATTTAGCAGGAGGGGGTACTTTTCAGAAACAGGGGACACACTGTGGAATTAATAAGATAAGGCTTTAAGAAGATGAAGTTTCAGCTAAGGTAGCAGGTTCCTCACTCACCTTATAGATGGCGGGCTTCATCGCATCTGTGAGGGAAGAAAAGCAGTAGCTGATGTTTTGGATCCACAAGTCTGAGCTTCTACTCAAGCCTTGCTCTAAGATCAGGACCCCACGCTTTGGACAATGACCTTCCCGCATCATTTATTCAGAAATTTCTTTTCCCACCATCAACTTTCTGACCCTACCTCCATCTGCCCCCATCTTCTTTCTTTCTTTCTTTCTTTCCAGTTGACAGTACCCTTCCTCCTATCAAAACCATAATCCTTCCATTCTGGTCTCGTCCTCTCTCACCATTTCCAGAACTTTACTCATTTGGTTATTCTTCCTTTCTTCTGCATTATCCACTTGCTCTCCACCTACTGGGTCATTCCCACATTCCCATGTAAATGCCCTATARCCTCTTCTATAAATAAACAGACAAAACTTTCTTTTACCCTTTAATCACCCCAGCCAGCACTCTCAATTTTTTGTTCCCCTTCATAGTCAAATTTCCTAAAGGAATTGTCTACAATGACTGTCTTCATTTCCTCACTTTATATTTCCTCCTCAACCCACTTCTCTACCACACCAACAAATATGGGACCTTCTCAGGGCTCAAACCTAGGTGCCTTCTTCTTTAAATACTCAGTACTATTGAAATACAAATAGAAGCTATCTTTCCTTGACCTATTCCTCTGCTTTCTCAGCTTTAACTCTAATTCTTTCCCTCTCCTCACAATCAAAACCAGGCTGTGCATGTGTATGTGTGGGAAGTGGGTGGTAGTGGTGAGGGTAGGAGGGATGAAGTCAGAGGGGAGATGAGCCCTATCTGTCAGCCTCAGCTTTTAGCAGCTCTTTACCCAGCCAATTAGGGGATGAAGCAAAAGGGGGAATAGCCTAAGGGTAAAGAATAGCTTAGAGGGGACGATAGGAGCTAATGTGCTAAAAGACTGCAGTTACGAGCCTGAAAAAGGAAAAGCAAGCTCAAGAACAAACGAGAAATCACAGTGGGGGTTTGGACATGACTAAGTAAGACTTTGTGCTAGAGACTGAACCCAGAGGAGTTTCAGGGGAAGTGGGTATGCCCTATGAAGCTCTGGCCATTGCTACTGCAGCCCCATTCTCCTTGTTGAATTACTTACCTGGGGGTTGCTGAGCCAGGAGGGCCTCAGGATGCGGCAGACTAAATAGCAGCACCTTCCCATCTGAGCAGGCAAGAGCCAAGAGACCCAACCGAGGCAGGAGAGGAGCCTAGAGGGCAAGACCAGATCTGTGCTGAGGCTTGCTGCCTTCAGGCGCCTCTCAGAAAACTTTTGAGGTTCTGGTCCCTGGGATACGACACASAGTTGCTGGAAAAACACTGTCTACCACACTCCAACCTTCTTTCCTCCGATGCTGAGAACTCCCAGAGTCCCTATTTCCTAGCTTCAAGTCCCATGGCCAACTCATAGTCAACTGGGAAGTACCTTTCGAAGGGTGCCTGGAAGTTCCCATGCTCCACTGGGGCAGAATTTGAGGTCCCAGATACAGCCGTGATCACAAGCAATCCCATAGACAAAGTGGGCCCTGTTGCCAGGACTGGAGAGAGAAAGCACGTGGAGACAGTAGGTAGGAAGGAGGGGCCTAAGGCTGCCAGAGCTGTTTGAGCCCAATTCAAGCCCTCCCTCCATCCTTCTCTCTCCCTCATATACCCACCCATGGCAGCGTCCCAGCCCCACCTCACCAGCTTTCTTGCTGCAAAGTCCCAAGGCCCCAGAGCTGCAGCAACCCAGGGCCTGAATGAAGCTGACTCAGTGGGTGTGTCTCGTTCATATCAGGGCTTGAGAAAAGGGCAACATATTGCGAAGCTGCTGACCCCTCTGGCACTGGGCACCAGTCCAGAGCCCAAAGTGGTCCCCCTGTGAAGAAGGACACATCCCAGCGCTCTGGATGTGCTGTGATTGAGCTAAATCTAGAGAAAAGTCAAAGAGAGAATGGAGAAAAAAGTTAATAAAAGGTAATGACAACAGAACGGGAGCTCTACCTGGAGTATGACCTGGCTTAAGCAAGGACCTGAAAATCAAGAAATCTACAGGTAAGCACAGTACTTAGCTACCACTTGTACCTCCCTCCCTTCTTTCCCAAACTCTTTTTTTTTTTTAAAGAGAGAGAGAGAAAGAGATGAGAGAGAAAGAGAGAATTTTTCAATATTTATTTTGTAATTTTCAGCGGACACAACATCTTTGTTTGTATGTGGTGCTGAGGATCGAACCCGGGCCGCATGCATGCCAGGCGAGCGCGCTACCGCTTGAGCCACATCTCCAGCCCTTTCCCAAACTCTTTATAGATCTAGCTCATCTTCAAAGATAAGAGGCTGTTGATTCTGGTTTACTGCAATGTTCTGTCAAGGACTGAATACTTGTGACCTTGTAAGCTGGCTTGACTCTGAGTCTCCTTAGCTTCTCTCAGTCTGGCTGGCAGCACTGAGCACTAGAAATTAGACAAGATTGACCAGCTCCAGCCAGAACCTCTATTCTTGGGACCAAGTAGACCAACTTCAGGGAAAGTGAAGGGCTAATGTGTCATCCCTTTCAAAAATTCATCTTCCCTGTTTCCCAAGAATCAGAAAAAAGGTTGAGCTGCAATCATCACCTGTTTATTCGGTACAGTGTGCCATCCTCAGGAAGCCCTTCACGTTGTACAGAAAATAGCGGAGACTTCTCCTCCTGGGGCAAGTACGGAGCTGCCTCACTGGGGCAAGACAAAGAAAAGAGCCTGAATTTGGATGAGTTTCACCCATCCCAGGATTCCCATCATAAACCTAGAATCCTCACTCTTCTGTCTCCAGTCATGTCACTCCTCCTARGCTTCAGAAATGTCACTTCAACTTACAGTTCAGACAACAAGTGCCACTTCCAGGCTASAGGAATCCATTCAGCAAACTCCCAGAATGAATGTTTCTGTTCTCGGCTGGTGAGAGAGAGAAGTATCAGTGGAGGAAGAGAGAGATTCTCTAGCAGCAACTCTAACACAACTTTCTTAGGATCAGAAATGATCTGTTGTCTGTACTGTCCAATATGCTAGCTGCTAGGGGCAAGTGGCTACTGGGTCCTTGAAATGTGTCCAGTGCAACTAAGAATTGTAACTTTCCAATTCATTTTATTTATTTATTTGTTTGTTTGTTTATTTATTTATTTATTTAGTGGTGCTGGGAATCTAACCCAGGGCTTCATACATGCTAAGCAAGTATTCTACCACTGAATTACACTCCTGGCCCCTAAGAATTGYAACTTTCCAATTCATTCATTTTTTTTATTCATTCATTCATTCATTCATTCATTTATTTAGTGGTGCTGGGRATCTAACCCAGGGCTTCATGCATGCTAAGCAAGTATTCTACCACTGAATTACACTCCTGGCCCCTCATTTCATTTTAATTGAAGAGCTCTAGAACTCTTGCCTTTGTAGTAGTGCTTTTTGGTAATGAATATCATTACCATGCTCTGCCCATTAATGCTTCTATCTTTTTAGATCATCTTTGCATTCCTGTCACCCCTTCCCCCACAGCCTCTGTCCCCAAGTCTCACAGGTCCTTGGTGAGATGGAGGCACTTCCAAACAGGGGCCATGATGTAATTGGGTAAGCCATTGGGAGCCACTCCCCGGCAGTGTGGCTTCTGCTTCTGAGGATGAAATGGGAGAAAAATTAAAGGGAGAGAATTTTCTAAGCTAGAAAAAGTCCCAGAAGGCAACTTTCTTTCCTAATTTTTGCTTTCCTGGCATTAAATACCCTACAACCACTGCCCTATCAGCATCTTAAAAGATTTGTGTTTCAAACATTAAAGGGACTTCTCCACTTCTGCTCCTACTCCTCTATTAGAACTGTATGTTCTGCTGTCTATTGTCTGTTCATCTTCCTTACCATCTCCAAGGCATTTGGATTCAGAGGACTCCCATATACTTCTTAAAACCTTTGCTCCATGGGACAGTCACCCCCTATTCCCTCCACCTCTCTAATATATTTTTTTAGGCTCTTCCTCCTCTGATGGAACTGGTCATTGACGGTATTCTCTATATACATACTCTTGGAAACTCATCTCATGTTCCAGGGCTTAGATTCACCTTTATGTCTAATTATAAAGTTTACATCTCAGTACTAACATAAAATTGGCTCAGACCCAAGTTTTCTATAAGTTCTAGATCTATATGATATTGGGGTAAGCCATATTAGCCTGCAGCAAAAGAAAAATCAGTAATCAGTTAACAAAGTTCTKGTCTTTCCACACATACAACTGGATACTCTTGAGGCCACTGAGTTGTACATTTTTCAGTGGTTAAAATGTTAAGTTTTATCTTATGTATATTTTACCACAATTAAAAAACAAACAAAACTCAGCATTGTTGTTGGCTCCTACCAATTTTAGTCCTATTATCCTCTCTAGTTTGATCTCCCTTAAAATTTTATCCAGGCCCTATCCTTCAGCTGCAATATATTTATGGGAAAACCATTATTTCTGACAAGTTTGTATTCACCCTTCAAGACCCACCTCATTATCATTCTTCTATGAAACCTAAACAGTTCATCACCCTCCCACTATATGCCTAAATCATTTTGTTCACTTCTAGTATAGCACGCACTGTCRCACTGTACTGCAAACCTTGTGAAACAGGGCTCTCATTCATGTCTATGCTTCCTAGCAGACAATATTCAGTTAAAAATAAACAATCTTGCTTACTATATCCCTTGCCCTATAATCTTCCTAATAGCTCAAAGGACTTCCTAATAGTCCCTTTTCTTACCTGTCTTGGCCAACATAATTACTATCCTTTTAGGTATCTGGCTAACCCCTTAAAAATCCTATTCTCCCATTCACTTTCTTGTCCATTCAGGTTACCCCTGAAGTGGATCCTCGTGGGTTGCTTCGGGGTGCCACAGGCTCGGGGTCAGATGAACTCTCGCTTGGAGCCTCACTTTCTTCCCCCTCTTCAGCCTCAACCTGGAGCACAAAGTCTTCATCCTGTGCAGCAGTATTCTCTTCTCCACCCTGACAGATTGCCTGCTGCTGGCTCTTCTTCGGTTTGGTAGGGCTGCTCACTTTGGGGCTCTTAGGACAGGAGACTGAAGCAGGCAGGGCAGAAGAGAGTTCTTCAGCCAGTTCCTGAAGATACAGAAGTGCCCTGTGGGATAGGGCAGAGTCAAAGCCATTCTTGTAAACACTTAACTGAGAACCCAGAAATCCAGACCTGGTTGATTCTTATCTCACTGGATCCTCCCAGTAACACTATGAGGCTGCTATTAATTTCCCTTTCCATGTTGACAGATGAAGAAACAGTAACTCAGGAAAATTAAGTGATTTGGCAGAAAAAAGTCAGATAACAAATGTAGAATCTTAACTCAGATCTTCCAAGCCCAAATCCAGTGCACTTTTCATCTACTACAGTCAAAGAACATTTAGGGCAAGGGGAAAGAAAGGAAGGGCACATAAATAATGAAATAAGCTGGGTGGTAAACAGCAATGAAGAACTGGGTGAAGTCTGTGAAAAAAAAATGTGATGGAGTACAAGGTACAGAAAGAAGCCTCTTGAATTAAAAAAAAAAAAAAAAAAAAATCAGAAAAAAAAAGCCTGCTGTGCTGAGAGCTAAAGGATTGCCCTTGGGCTGGGGTTGTGGCTCAGTGGCAGAGCGCTCGCCTAGCACGTGCGAGGCCCTGGGTTCGATCCTCAGCATAAATAAATAAAATAAAGGTATTATGTCCAACTACACCTAAAAAATAAAAAAAAAAAAAAAAAAATCAGAAAAAAAAAGCCTGCTGTGCTGAGAGCTAAAGGATTGCCCTTGGGCTGGGGTTGTGGCTCAGTGGTAGAGCGCTCGCCTAGCACGTGCGAGGCCCTGGGTTCCATCCTCAGCATAAATAAATAAAATAAAGGTATTATGTCCAACTACAGCTAAAAAATAAATTAAAAAAAAAAAAAAGGATTGTTCCCATATCCCCAGAGTGTAGGTACCACCCCTGCTTACCTGATACCTACTCATAGTCTTCCCATCTCTCCAACATCTGTCCCATTCCCATCCCTTCAATCACTACCCCCCCTCCACCAAGCTGTTCCCCACAATCCTTACACTTGGGCAGCCCTTCGGCGGGGTCGTTCCCCAGAAGGGGTCTCAAAGTCCTCAGGGGGCCTCTTTGAAGKTGGAGACTCTGGCTGATCTAGGCCTTTTGACAACTTCAGCAGTAGCAGGTCTCCTTTGGACTTCTGACTTCTTTTCTTAGGCATGGGGGCAGATAGAGGGTTGGATTGATCTAAGAGACCAGGAACCAGAGGGGCTGATGGAAGTTTACGCTGCTGGGGCCTTTTGGGGCCTTTTCGTGTCCTACTACCTCTCTTCCGGGCAGGCTTTGAGGCCCTAGGCTTTGAGACCTTTGACATCTCTGAAGAAAGATCTGTAGAGAAGAATATGGGTTTGTGAGATGAGACCAGAACTCAAACCTCTTTGGAACAGATTATACTGCACTCAGATTTGTAAAATCCTGTGAGCTCAAGCTGTTTTCTTTCATCTTAAGCTAAGTATAGGGAGATGAAAAGATGAAAGGAAAAGGTACACACCTTGCTGTTCCAGTCTGGAGAGGCTCTCTGGCTCTGGAGGAAGACTCCTCTCATCAGGAGAATCCTCAAATCCAGGCAAAGAGGGAGGTAATGACATCTCTATGGAAGCCTCCACACTGGTCGTTTCTGAGGCCTTGACATCAAGCTGGTTTAGCACTTCTCGTCCAGGAGAGTCTACCACAGTCATGCTTCCCACGGGGCCGGCCTCCCCCAAGGCAACACAGCCGACCCCATAGGTATCCATCAGCACCCCCCAAAATGGCTGCACCTACATACAGAGACACACCAATGAGCAAAAGGCAAAAACTGTTTGTATAGTCTCAGATTTTTCTCTTTTCCTGCCCTTTATTCCCTTATCCCACAACCAGAAACCCAAGCTTCCTGATCATTCATTCATTCAACAATAATTACTAAGCATCTTCTATGGCAGACACTGGTTATATGACAAGACAGACAAGGTCCCTGCCCTCATGGAACTTTCATTCTGGTGAAGCAAACAATAAACAGTCTACCATTTATCAAATGCTTACTATGTGCCATACATAAGAGCTTTATATATATTATTTAATTTAAAGCTCATACATTTTTTTGTAAGAAACTGCAGTGAATGCACAATTAATTAACCCCWCACCTTGAAAGCCAATAAAATGAAATATACATGCCCCACCAACCTCATGCCCAAATAGCAAGAAAATAATGATTATGCATCTAGGGAAAGGTAACAACTTTCTATAACAGACTACCAAGAATAGCTGCCACTCCAGGCACAGAGATACATACCTATAGTCCCAGCTACTTGGGAGGTTGAGACAGGAGGATCGCTTCAGCCCTGGAGTTCAGGGCTGGCCTGGGCAACAGAGCAAGACCTGTGTTTCATAAAACAAAACAAACAAAAAGTGAAAAGGATAGCAGCCAGACACTATAAAACTTGGACCAAACTGAAGGACGATGCCTAGAGCTAACATCCATTTCTGTGAATACTAGTGAAGGTACAAATTCATTTGAGAATAAATAACAGTTCTCTGGAGTCTGGTTATCAATCTTTCACTTGAAATGGAGAAGGGGGGCTAGATTAGGAAACAATTAAGGAACATCCTATTACATTAAAAGACCATTTCCACATCAAAGAATGAACTAAAACTAMATTTTCATAAATATTTTCTTTGAGCCCAGAAAATCAGATGTGCAACCATGGCCCAAAGTAGGCTAATAGAGGGAGGTAATGACACTGACCACCAAACCAAAAACGTGAGCAACACAGAACTTTGCAGAGGTCCAGTTTTTTGGCAAGAATAACTTGCTTGCCTGTGACAAAAGGAGACATATAGTTTAGCTACATATGGAACTATGGACAGTCCTAAATGATGTACCTAAATGATGAATTCATCACCAGTGGAAAGTACAATATACAAAATAAAGTTCCTATTTATCTCCTTTGAATAAGATAGTTTAAACAGATTGTAAACTGTAACAATAGCTAACCCTCTAACTCAGCTGGTGAGGATACAAGGTAACATCATGTTCCAAAGATACTTTATAACAGTGTCAAGATACATACATACAGTGAGAATCAACTCATGTTGTAAACAGAAGCCCTGACAGAACCCATTCAAAATAATTAGCAAAAAGGATCCAACTGAGACCTATGCACAGATCCTACAGAAAGAATTAAAAAAAAAAAAAAAAAAAACACAAATAAAGGTGAAAAGTACTCTTTTGAAGAACTGCTCAGGCAAACAAAACAATTTCCAACAAAAACTTCCATACCTTGAAAAAAAAAAACCCATAAGACTATGGAATCCAAGAAAAGAAATCAAAGAAGAGATTAACAAAACGGAAATGTAAAAAGTAACCTGGCAACCAGG